ATCTATACTTTATTTTTGTTTGCAAATTGTTTTATTGGTGGGTGGTTTTAGTTATATGTAGAAGCGTTGGATTCAAACCTGGTGTTATTTAAAACCAATTTTTGTTTTTGGATTTGTCAAGAAGGTTTCATTAAGTTATATCTCTTTGAAATTTCAAAATATTTTCACATTTCCTCTAAATATTAAAAAAACTTTAAAAATATTTTCATGCGTGGAGAATATTGTCATATTAGCAACGGGTAACTAATTGATTTTGCGATTCGAATGAAAACTGTAGTTATCTCGTATCTTGCATACTCTTTTTTGCTAGTTGTAATTAATATCTAAAATATTTGTCATCTCTCTGTCCGAGAGCCTGCAAGTCGTTTAATCACAGAAGTTTTGTCACATTTGGGAATCAGTTGTAATACGTGGATATAACTTTGCAGTGCTTTTTGGAGAATGATTTGATTTTCAATACGTAACTACCCAATAATATGGCTGACTAAGCATCCATGTAACGTGAAAGCAACGGCAAACAGAGCTGATATTTATTCACTGGCAATTAAGGAATACGGAAAAATTAATTTCTAGAAAGCCAAATGTAATTGCTGAGTGATAAATTTGGATTTAATGGATTATGAAATAAATTTATGAATAGCAAATAAATAAAAAAATAAAATTAAAATATATTTTTTAAAATTAAAAAATCCAGATTATAAAAATTAGTTACAGGTTTTAAGAATCTCTTTCCTCACACAAGTGAGTTCAAGAACAAAAAAATTCTCACTCTAGCAATTAGTGATTCACACATTTCTTGTGCTCATGACAATTTGAACAGTTACTTTCATTAATTTGCTAGTTTGCCGCTATTCTGGTCTGCCTATTTAAATATGAATTCAAACAGCTTCCGATCATAGAGTTATTATATATACACCGGTTTGTTATATGCAATGAAAATGTAGAATCCTCAAGTGCTTTTTTTTTATCAATTTTTATGATAAATTTTATAAATTAAAGGACGGAGAGTAGTCTTTTTTATATTTCCAGAATCGGAGTTTCTTTCTAGAAAATGGTTAAATTAAAATTTTGACAAGTTGGCACAGAAGCAAATCACCTGAAATAATTGAAACATGCAAATTTTTCATCCCATAAATGCCAAAGAGGTAAGTAAAACTTAAATTTTTCCACTTTGTTCTTAATTCAATGGCCACATGCTGTATTGCTGTGAGTATCTGCCTATGAATTAACTTTTTGTTTTTGTTGTTCTTATTATATTTGACAAAATATGTGTCACCATCGTTTGCCATCAGCTGCTCGTTGACTTGACAATTGAAAGCTCTTATTATTGTTGTAGTTTTTGTTGTCTTTATTGTTGCACTAATACAGCTTTTGTAGCGACAAAAACAACTTCTTTGCTCTAGATTTTGGCATCTTATTTTTTTTTACTTTTTCTGTACCGTTTTTTTGTTATTCGGAGTTAACTGATTTATATTAACAATGTTGCTGGCGCTCTTATTGTTGCTTGTATGATATGTACTGAAATAGTATACTATATTCTTGTACTTCAGTTTGTTTATACACTTTCATACACATATTTATGAAGTAAAAGTAAGAATTGTAGAAATATCTGAAACTCGTTTTAGATATGAAATATATGGATTTCGAATCAGAGGCCGGTGATTTTCAAGACCAGAATCAAACCAAAAAATTAGTTTTATTGTTTGTAATGAAACATATTTCTATGAATTATTTCAAAACAACCGCAAATTCATAAATGTGTTGAAATGATTTGCTGAAATTTGATTGCTTGTTTTGTTTGTAAAGAAATATTTGAAGAATTTTTATGGTATATCTGATTAAGGAAGCGTATCAATTTATTTGTCTCTTGGTTTTAGTGCAGACTTAAGCCAGCCCGAAACACCATTTGATGTCACATCGTTCTTCATTCAATACCCACTACTAATACTATTGTTGTGTTCCACTTGATTGATACTAATTTTGACAATATTTCTATTAATGGAGGAGATGGCTAGGTCGGTAAGGCAGGTAGGGTGGATGTCTAACGTCGCAACTAGACCTTTAGGAGGCCCATTGTGAAATCACCGGGACTAAAATCCCCTCACTTTATTATGATCTCTCTGAACTAAACTGTGCTTCCCGGTGATGAAGTTCATCAATTCCAGATTCAAGACCCCATCGATTCTATTCTTATACAAAACCATGCATTCGTATCGAAGATGCTCTACAGTCTCTTCTTCTACTACCTCTTGGATATTATTCTAATCTACATATGCACTTGACACAGAATTTAATTAACCATATGGCCGCAAAGTGACACCCATAGCTTTCGAAGTAACGTAATCATCTCTGTTATCAAATAAAAAGGCCGTGTTTCTAGAGTCATAAAAACTGCAGCAGGTCGGGAGGAGATAAGCAATTGAGAACCTCTTCGCAACAAATTTCAATATGTGAAATTAAAAATAACAAAGTAAATAATTAACATGAGCTGACGACTTAACATGAGTGTAACTCTCTATAAATATATATATAACAGTATAGTTTATATTTGTCATTTGAGAATGTTAAAGCTTTTGCTGGCTTTTTAAAAAGATTTTTTTTTTTTTTATTATTAACCTATCGTTTTTAATAAGAAATTGCAATTTATTTAATGCGCTTATCAACTGGATTGTAAAATATAAGCAAACATACAGCATAGCATACATCTCCATATACTTCAGTAGAAGAGTATTCTCTACTTAATTGAGTAAGTTTAATTTATTCACGCTTTTACTGGTCAGATTGTTGTATCTAAAAAGTATACTGTTCTTCGTGATGGATTCTTTCTTTGGCTTCAATCGTAACCTCTTACGAACTTTTTAACGGAACATTTTTTTTGTTTTCTAATTTTTATCATTGATTTGTACGAAATGTTTTCTAAGCGAATTCATATTAATTAATTAGTACAATTAAGAGAGTTATACAGAAGTCGAGTAGGTAGGTATATATTTAAATTTTTTCAATATAAAATTTTCATTTGGTATTTTCGTTCAATCGAAAGGGAAACCCCTTTGAAAAAATCTCGTATGTGGGTGTGAAAGTTATTTGGAATTGCTTAATTGTGTTTATACAACTATTTTGTCGTATTCTCATATATTTTGTGCGAATCAATAAGTGGAAACTAAGCAATCAGTGCTAATGATTATTGTAAATATGAGTATGTCGTATTTCGGACGATTCATATAGAAATATTAGGGTGAGTGGACATATGAAAAGTTTTTCTTTTTTGATTTGGAATGATTTAACAGAAATTAAATTCAGAAACAGACCCGTGTTAACATTTTCTTAACGAATTATAAATGTTTTATTATTTACCATCTGAACCGGACTGACAAAATACCACATTTTCACGCACTTTAGTACAGATCGTTATTATCGCCTACAAAAAAGGCTCTTGAGCCAATACAAGCATGCCAACACTTAAATATATTTTCCATACACTTGTTATAACCCTCAGCTGCGATCCAGCGAATTTTGGTTTTTTCGGTTTCGGCTAATTTTTAAAGCTCGATTCGTTAGAATACTGTTTTATCGTTATATTCATAAACCGACCTCTCGTTAACAGTAATGATGCATTTGATGAATGCAGGATTCACAGCCACCTTTTCAAGTATCTCTTTTGCGACCTCTACTTGTTGTCGTGTTTGCAAAAGATTCTTCATATTCAAAATATTAACCAAAATCTGTTGAATCGATTCATTAAGAAATTTTGAGATTCTCTGCCATCTCTCTGATGGAAATTATTTTCAAGCACTGTTTCTTTAACTTTTTCGTTGTTATCGTCATTAACAGACCTTTACAGATTGCTTTGTGCTACTCAAATACTAGTGTTCATGATAATGTGAACTCCCCGAAACACTTCTGCAACATTTTCAATAATTTCGTAGTCGTGATTCTACTGGAAACACAAAATTTCAAGCAAACTCATTGTTCCATTTTTTCCATATTAAAAATCTGCAGACAAACTTTTTGCGTCATAAACAAACAGTTGCCAACTACACACTTTTTAATATATCGAGATCAAACTTCACACAAATATAAAAAAATAATTGTACCAATCTAGAAAAAAAAATAACCAAAACAGTTACCATATCCGGATTTTATGCGGCTGAGAACTATCGATTCGGCAGCATTGTTTGATATTATTAGGAGATTTGTTTTGTCAAAACAGCAACAGCAACAACAATAACATCAAATATTGAACGCTTTGTTAGTTTGCAAAATTAGCGACAGCAGATTAAGCAGCATTGAAAATCTAAACATAATGCTAGGCACATGTTCGAATAATGAATACGCTTGTCCAATAATTGGCAGATATTTTCAGCTTATCTGTCGGCAATACGCTTGCTTGCTTATTTATAAATAAAAGTCAACTGAAACCACTGCTAAAACAATTGTGTTTATTAACTTGTTAAGTCAACTACTATATTTCAGATTCGCTTCTAAAATGCATGCCAAATTCTGTCTGTTGTTTTTGTTTGTTGTGTGCATTGCTGGACTTGTGTCGGCGAGCCACAAGGAGGTGCGTTGTGATTAAATAACAAAGTGAAGAAACGATTTCGTAGCAGCCTAATCATTTTTTGTTTCATAGATCTTAAAGACTCTACCGATTGTGGTGAAAATGAGGAATTCACAACCTGCGGTAACATCTGTCCACAGAGATGCGAAGGAGGTCTTCGTTTCTGCTCACTGCGCTGCTTTATTGGCTGTCGTTGTAAAGTGGCTATGTGTTGAATAGAGAGAGAGATGTGTCCTGCAGGAGGATTGTTAAGCGAAAAATATTGATGAAATTAATTATGTAATTTTTTGGAAAAAAAATAAATAAATGAAATTATTATTTTTTTATTGTTAAAACTGTCAATGTTTAATTTTGTTCTGTCTGCCAGCTATTATAATTATCGTGAAGTAATTATTATAAAACAAAATACGTAAAAATATATTTTAAAAGTGGCGATTAAGATAGGAGCATGAGTTAGGCTTTCTTGTTAATATTATTGTTATGGTATATTGTATTTTCGATATATGTGAGTGAATATGTTGGGCAGTTTATTAAAGTGTTTACTATTAGCTGCGTTAAATGTCGTTTAAAATTAACTCAGAAATACTTATCGAAAGCGGAAGTTATAAATAAAGCGCCAAGTTTAAATGAAATTTCTAAAAATGGTGCGATTTCAAATGGAACTTAATTTATGACAAGTATTTGCTTTCTCTCGCTCCTGCTTGTCTCTATATAAAAATATATAGCTAATATATATAGAACAACTGATAACACACTGACCATGTTAAGAAGATTAAAACGAAAGTGATGAAACATCATACAATTTTCAGAAACTAGTTCAGTGCCACACCCACTCTTTATTTTAAAAATTATCCACTTGGCATTTGGCTGCAAAGAATAATTTTCATCTCTCAGTTCAGACGTTGGCACGCTCAGCCTCTATTTTGACTTAATCTTAACTAACTACTACTTATAACCGAGTTCTTCTTCTTCACAAGTGGTGTTACTGTCACATGCAGATTCTGAAAATTAACACTCATTGTCTAGCTTCGAGCACACAGATAGCGAGCTCAGTGCTAGTATTGCCGCTCTGCTTTTGGAGTGAATTCTCACCTCCCTGAAAGAGGCTGCACTTCGTAGCAGTACGTCTACCAGCACCTTAATTGCAGCCACTTCTGGCTGAAAAACAATATAATGGTACGGTAGCTTAACGCTAAGATTGACAGAGAACTCCTTACTGAATACTCCTTCTCCAATGTTATCCCTGGCTTTGAACCATCCGTGGAAAAGCTCACTTCAACTCTCCTCCAGTGACTCCTCCGAGTAGCCTCTGCGACGCAGTGATCCATTTTTTCAGAAATGCAGTTGAAAAAGTTGAGAATTTCGGCTTGTCCTTGTTCGGACCCCTTCATATACACAGCTTTCCTTAGAGCGCACTTCGCAGCAATACGCCTATCCGTAATGTGCAAGGGTGCTATGTGTAAAGTGGCATTAAGTGCTATTGTTGGTTTAGTCCGCAGTGCACCGGAGATGCCGATAAGAGCCGCACTTTGGACACGTTGAAGCTTCTTAACAAGTGTAGTCTTTTCGAGCACCCTACACAAAGCGAATACACCATAGAACATTATTGGCTTCACTACGGTTTTGTAGATCCACAACACCCTCTTTGGTGAGACTCCGCACTTTTTCTCTATAGCTCGTCTACAGCAATATAAGGCAATCGATGCCCTCCTTACTCTCTTCGCAATATTTGGCCTCCATGAAAGCTTTCTAATATAACAATAGATCTCTTATAAAGTAAATTGTCATAGGAATTATATTATAATATATAGGAACGAAGTAGTTTTGGCAAATCCGGTAATTATTATTTCATATTTTGCTTCTCTTAGATAAAAAAAACTTTCCGTCGACTAGTATTGTTTTTAGTCTATAGCTTATAATATATGGCTTACAAATATATTGTCTTACATAAACTGATATCATTGAAAAAAATTTTACAAAATTAATATGAAATCAATTGACTCGAAAAAGAAGATGTAATGGATGATATTTTTTAGTCTACTACATGGTTGCCTGCTATTATCCAGCAGTTGGATCGCAAGTACATTTTCATGGTTATCCCATCGAGAGAAATAACAACTTATAAATTCTTCTATAGTTTCTTTCAGAGTGAGCATTTTTTACTCTCAATGGAGTACGTCATTTCCAACATAAAGATGCAACCACTATAATGCGAAGAACTTTATTTTGAAAGGCTTGAATAAATTTAAAATTTTAATTGGCTCAACAGCCCTAGATTTGAATTCCATACGAAATCACATTGATCTGAGCATTGCCTTATATACAAGTATGTTAGCTTGTTCTTAAGACTGAGACGAGATCTTGCCTTTAGGAGCCAGTACAGCTGCGCAAACCTTAACCAGAGCCGGGTTCTCTTGATTTTCACGTGGTCTTTCCATGTACGTCTCTTATCAATTGTACGAGTAAGTCCCAGATATTTTGAGCTTGTGCTTGTTAGTAGCAACTGACCACATAAGACCACTTGGGGACATATTTTTTGTGCCTGAGTGTATACACTCCAGGTATGGATTTTCAGTATTAATGCCTATTCGGTGAGATACGGTTCTAGAATGGTCAATTACGTTTGCAGTTTCTTGGAGCGGCAGTAAAATTGCTACTCGACGCCTGCACAGTTGCTCTTAATTGTGGAGTCAGAGTTAATCAAGAACGTTGACTTGAGGTACACCAGCGCCTGTGGGTCCCAAATCCGACTCAGCATTACGACACTTGACGTAGAACGTCCGATTATGCAAATATGACTTTAATAGCAAACTTAACTTATAATACGAGTAGGCCTAGTTGCCAGGCTTTGTCAAATGTTTGATGGACATTAGGAAAAACTGCAGAACAGTATTTACAATTTTGCATGGCATCAGTTATAAAGTGTTCTACTCTGTGGCATTGCTCATGCAAAAAAAAAAAATTGTTAAGTAAAATAAAATTATATCTGTATATTTTTCGACAAAATTGGAACTCCGAGTGAAATCGTCAAAAGTCTACTCAACTCTATAAAATTTTACTTTATATACCATATATAAAATTTGGAACGGTTGGACGTCGTAGGCTTATACATACGACAAATTGGTAATGAACTATTTTTCTTAGTTACAAAAGAAAAAAAACAATTTTTAAACTAGGTGACCTTTTAACGCTCTGGTGTAATCTTACTCTTCATGTATTTGTATATATGATTTCATACATAACAGCTGCTTTAAAATATATATTTAAATGTTCGATACTTCCCTATAAAACTTATTACTAACTTTGTGAAATATATTGGAAAATTAATAACGAAAAAACTTTAAGCTTTGAAAAATAAACCAGATTAAGCTATACCTCATGAACCAAAAGCAACGCTACCACCCTAGTATGAGTATTTGCGTAATACTCTCATATAAAAGTAATATATATATATATATATATATATATATGTATGTATATTAATGTTTGTGTACAAATAGTCAATATGTACACCCATTTAATAGTAAATATTTTAGAATCATCTGTTCGTTTAGTCATTCGTTTAGTCGATTATGTATAAATAAAAGTGCCAGGAATCTGTTACTAAAACAATAGTATTTCTCAGCTCGTTCAGTCAAGCAGTAAGATATTCCGATTTGCTTATAAAATGAATACTAAATTCTGTTTGTTGTTTGTGCTCGTTGTGTGCATTGCTAGTTATGCGTCGGCGAAGCCACAAAGAGGTGAGTTGTGATTAGAATTAAAAAGTGAAAAAGTTGACACTGTGGAAGCCTCCTAATCCTTTGTATTTCTTTTTATACCTCTTAAAGGCTCTTATTGTGGAAAAAATGAGGAATTCACAGAATGCGGCACCGCCTGCCCGCCAAAATGCGAACAAAGGAATAGTCCAAACTTATGCACGCTGCAATGCATTGTCGGCTGTCAGTGCAAGAGTGGCTATGTGTTGAACAATCAAGGAAGATGTGTCCTGCGAAGGGATTGTTGAGTGACAAGCAAATTAAATAGAAAATTAAGGAAATTTTTATTGTTTGGAGTAATCGGTCACTGGATTGTGTTATGAGTGTATGATTTTTAAATAACTGAAAATATTAAAATATGTGTAGTATATAAAATAAAAATTAAAAAATAAAATATTTTATAAAAAATTATTTGATAGTAAACAGCTCGTAAAGATACTGGCTAAATGCGAAGTTTGAAACGGTACTATAGGTTTCTATTTATGTATGTACGAGTATGCAGGCATATTCGTATACCATGAAAATATACATTTAAAACTTTGTTTGGTCAAACGTCATGCTCATAACAGCCCAATAATTCATAGATAGTAAATATTTATTATTATTAATATTCTAAAGCGTTGACATTCAGTTAGTTTATTCACATGTTTATCAGCGTAGGGGAATTCTGTTTAATTTATCTCCTATTTACTCACCCACTACGTAATAGTCATGAAGCAATGAGTACACCAACGATAATTTATTTACTTAACAGTGACGTAACAGATAATTTCATTTTATGATTCCTAGAAGAGATATAAATATAAATATATGTTTGTGCAATAATGCAACCTAAGGTCATATAGACAATATCATACTTTAAAAATATATAAAATTATATCCAAAAGTCAGAAAAAAACACGTTTAGTAAATAAATAAAAAGTTTATATTTATAGAATTTAATGTGCTTTTATAGTTGATGATTAATTTTGAAATATTTTGGATTCCCTTGATTCCGTAACCGATCTTAAAAAAAAATTATTACTTTAGGTAAATGCCATAATATAGCCGCATATACTAAAAAACGCGTTTTTTGTGAAAAAATTTATACTTCGGAGTGGCTTAAAGAATTGAAATTGTTATCGTATGCCTTCGACCATTACCTGATAAAAATATCTAAGAATGTCTTGTGAAAATTTTAAGTCTATTGATTTTGCCTATTCGGAAAACAGCGTTTCCTAAAAAAACCGTTTAAAGTTTTAGGAGCCGATAACAGTAAGTAAAAAAATGTGGAAAACGGTTGGCCTCAAGGGCCATTCCTGCAACTTCCCTATAATTTCATAAATTAACGTTCAAATTTCGCTTATTTCACTGCTTTTGAGTTCTTCGAGCTTAAAAGTTTAATGGGAGTTTAATATAACACTATTTCCCAAATTTCTCAAAAACTAATCAATTTTGGTAATTTCTTTCGTTAACGATTTCTCGAAAGCAAATCAACCGATTCTGACTCGGTTTGCGTCAAACGATGTGTTTGTTTCAAGATTCAAAACTGATTAGTTTTTGGGATCGACCAGTCAAGTTGTTTTGAAGTAAATTAGAAAAAAACGATTTTTTTAAATTTTTTGTTTTCGATATCTCGCAAGTAAATCAACCGATGCCGGTTTGCGGCAAACGATATGTTTTTTCAAGGTTTAGAACTGAATTGGAACAAATTCGAATTTTTTTTTGAGATTTCTTGAAATCTACTGGTCCGATTGGGTTCAAACTTACACGAAATTCAACTGCAATGAAACCCTTTGGAATGTTGTTTAGTTTATTCATGCCGTTTAAGAGTTATAAGAGGTTTACATACATTCACACACACACACACACACCCATACATCCACACATACATACAGACATACGGACATCATCGTAGAAATGTTCGGGAAAGCTTCCTCGATCCTCAGAACCTCGAGATCTGTTGAGAACTCGATTTTTGCAAAATGGGGTGAAACCAATAACTTCCCGATTTTTAGAAAATTTTCAATTTTCTTAGCGGGAAGTTAAAAATCCTTTCAAATACGCTCATATTTCTAAAAATATTTGCAGAATCATCTTCAAATATTTGGAGAATATTCGCATACGTACATATGTACCTTGCATGCATATGTAAAAATATCGTATTTTTTTTTTAATTCACAAGTGGATATAACTCTTCCCACAACCCAAAAATGGACTTTTATATCCTTCTCTGACGCGATTAAATTTTTTACGCTAACCTGTTACGTTTATAACTAATAAATGTGGTTTGGTTCTAACAAAATCGGTCCTTAGCTTGCAGTAGAGCCTCATAGTACCGGATATCTGACTGATTTTCTAACTTAAAAATCTTTAAAAAAATATTTCACTTTTTTTGTCAATTAAGTTTAACAGTTTTACCGAAGTATTTCACATGCTTAAAAATGTGAAATAAACTAATTTTTGGTTACTTATAGTTGTACTCCATTCCTCACGACAACTACGTTTACTTATTTTCTCACTGACAAATATGACAAATGTCCAGCATTTAAAATCACAAATAGAGGTCAGTTTTATGGTAATTGTTTTATGAGCATAAAAAAAATTTCTTGCAAATATATGTAAGCACTTTAACTGTAAAAATAACCGGATTTCGCCAATTGACCATTTTCTGATAATTGAAAAAAGTTGGCAATTAAGTATTTGGTAGAATAATTTATAGATACCGGTGATGATCTTTTCCAATTTTTAAATTTTTTCAAATGTACAGTTTTTCTATTAAAATCAATATTTGACAAAAAGGTAAGTTTACAACATATCTAACAATTTCATAAAAACATAACGAACACTAAACTATCATGCGACAAATTACTCGCACACAAGGCGACAGTAAAACTAGTAATTATTTAGTTAGGTAAAAAGACAATTAAACATTTAACCTTTTTTGTGGTTAAATTGCAATAATGTGAGGCAAGTTGTTGCCAGCTATTTATAATTTTTTATCGATGTTAACTTTTTTTGTTATTTCAATCAGCATATAGATTGCTACTGCTTTTGATAAATATTATTATTGAAATTGAGAATATCAATATACTATAATAAACTAGACCGGTATCAGAAAAACCTTGATCTACAACATCATGGCTTAAGCATAACCAAAAATAACGGGTCAAATGATTATTTATGGTATAACAAGAAAAAAGGTCATGGAAAAAAACAGTTTGATAAAAGAGCATGCAAATATAGCGAGCAGAGAAATGGCGAATCGAAGACTTTCTTTCAAAATATATTATATATAAATTAGAAACTCACTTCTTCAAAGCATATTTAAAATATCTTACATTTGCATACTTACTTTTAAATTTCTAAATTGGTGGCAACCCTATCTAAAGATTTTATATGTCCAAATTAAAAATGTCCTAACTATTTTTTGGAAGACTATCTTTGCTTACGCTTGGACACATTTTGTACAATTATAAATTTTATTTTCTTTCAAATGTGGCAACTTTTTTTTAAGAAATATTTAGATACTTCCGAAATACCTGCTCAAATGTTTTCTGAAACTATTATTGCTCAGTAACTATACTGCTGCAAAATAAGGTGTATTCTAAATAAAGACCTCCTGAATAAAAGTCGGACGACTTATTTGTATGTGTTCGTAATATGTAACATTTTTTGTTTTCTAAATATGAAAAAAATTTTTAAATTTCTGTATTGAACGTGCTATTCATGACATATGTTTTGATTTAGTGGAAAAAGTACTCGAAAGTTGGGTTGTTCGACTTCGTTCCGGCAAAAGAAGGCTATTTGAATGATGTTATATTTAGAGCTTAATTGTATCGATTGTACTTCACATTAAATAAAAAACATTTGAATTTTTAACAATTAGTGTGCTTTTTTTCGAAAAGAAATCATATCTCTCTTATTGCAAAACCGCTTATTTTACCTATTGTATTTTTTAAATTTAAATGTTATATTACAGGGAAAATCTTATTTTGAATTAAAATCAGAAAACTCCTAATTTTAAATCAAAAATACTCACGTCAAAATATTCGATTTTTTAACAAATCAGTAGGTTTTATGTTTGTTGAAATATCAATTTCTGATGGCATAAGAAATATATACATTACTATGGTAAATTTCCTGAGAAAATGCAAAAAAAAAAACTCCACCACACCGGTTAACATAAATTTTTTCTCACCATTCTGGATGATATTTTCGCGGTATCCTAATAAAAAAATTAAATTTTTTTTGACCCAATCTAATATTGTATTAATAAGTACTTATAATTTTTCTACAAAGAATTAGTAGACTATCTAGAGTAATAAACTCAATCCTGCCGTTATCGAGCTGTGGGAACCGTGAAAAATTGCTTATGGCATCTAGTGATGCCAGATAATTTATATAAGTCTGAATACAAGTCTATAGGGGGTTCTTAAGCAATGAGTATAGTATTGGCATCTAGCAACGTCTTCACAATGAAAACTTCGTGATCTTAGAATATGTGACTATTGCTTCACAGAATTATGCCAAATGGAAACATTTTTCCAGTTTCTTGGATTAAATACAACTTTTGGTGATTTTTTGTATGATTTCAGTGTCGAAAAAATGTATTGCAGTTCGATAGATTTAACTATTTTATAGTGTCTCGGCTACTTTTCTAGCTACTAATTAACTCGAAAATACATTTAGAAATCAATAAATGCGAGTTAAATTGTCGAGATGTCAGCAGATCAAGCAACTAAGCCCGTCATCCTGTCACGCATCCACAAATAAAAAAACGAAATTTTATATTATGATTTTTCCACTTAAAATATAAATATATGCCTACGCGCATGCGCACACACATACATACATACACCCGTAAAATGAAATTGCGTCCTTGGCCATGACACCATTTCACACACACAACCAACACACAGGCATCGCAACCAACAACCTGTTCGCAAATCAAAAACATAAATTCCGCACAGTTGTAAATTACAAATTTCATTTCATTTGGTGGAGTGTCTTGGCCAGAAGGAATAAAACGCTGAGGCAACAACAAAAGTGGCAGCAGGAAAAAAGCATTCAAGCAACTAGTTGTGTATATATGGCAAGTGTGCTCAATGAGGTGGCAGTGGCCGCGGCTATTATTGCGGTTGCTGCAAATAAAGTGTGCCACACATAAAATGGGGCAGCAGTGCGTACAAACATACATACAAACATACTTACAAACATACATGAAACAGAAAATAAGTTTAGTTGTGTGTTATGACAGCTTATGACAGCCATAGTGAAAAGTGATGAATAATTTGTGTACATGTCAGTCAGATTAAATGCTAAAAATACGCAACTAAATATGAAAAGTAACAACAATTATAACTTAAGATGTTATATTCACTTCTGATGTTTTAAGCAATCGATTTTTGCACATA